GTTCAGATTCCAGCACCAGACCTTGGCACCCTGGTGAACTGCTGCCCTCTGCTGGTATTTTCTGGGTAGTACAGAAATCCGTAAAAAACAAACAAACAAAAAAACCCACAGCTCCAGTGGCAAATTGAGTAAGGGAAAAGGAAGTCACAAAAGAAAAAAATGCAATGGGATAAGCAGCATATGAAATACATTGGTAATTAAAGAAATGAACGATATAACATCAAGGAGGTACTACTACTCCCTCAATCAGACTGGTGATAAGGGAAAATAATGGTATCTAGGGCTGTCCTGGGCTCAGGCAGTGCTTGTCACAACAGGGCACACACAGAAGGTGATTACCTCAGCAGACCACCCTCTGTAACCCACTCGGGCTCTGGCACCCCGGCACCCCATTGTGACTATTTGGCTTGCACAGCAGGGGGGAGTGTAAGTTGGCAAGGCCTTCTGGGGGTGTCACTTGGTTCCCTTTACCAGTGGCCTTAAAAATTCCAACCACTATGAATCTCAAATATTCCACTTCTAGTTTTTCCTAAAGAAGTTAGCAGTCAAGTTGTGAGAAAACTGTAACCAGGAGAACCATCTTTGTACAGCCGCATTTTCAGGACAGGCGCCCCATCTTCTCCCAGCAGCCGAGCAGGCAGGCACTTCAGAACTGAGAACCAAGCTGGTGGCTCCCTTGAAGCTGACCGGCTGTCTTTGTTGAATGAAACCCTTCCCTCTATCTCTCCCCTATACTCACAGTATTTGGGAATAGGCCTTTCTGGAGGTAATTAAGATTCAATGAAGCCATAAAGGTGAAGCCCTAACCAGATAAGACGAGTGTCCTTATCAGAAGAGGAAGACATCAGGGATGCTCGTACGCAGAGGAAAGGCTGAGGGAGGACACAGCGAGAGGGTGCTGGTCTGCAAGCCAAGGAGAGAGACCTTAAAAGACACCAAATCTGCCTCCACCTCGATCTTAGACTTCCGACCTCCAGAACTATGAGGAAATAAATTTCTATTGGTTAAGCCCCTATCCTGTGGTATTTTGTTATAGCAGCCCTACAAAATAATACCCTTGGTTAATGGTGGGCACCATTTACTGACTTATATGATAGACCTGGAGATGGCAAGTAGAGATGCCTGGTTGGCTGCTGACTACTCACTGGCAGAAGGAAGCAGAGGTAGAGATTTGGGTGTTACAAATGGATATGGAACTATGGGAGTGAATCATATAACCTATTGAGAATATACAGAAGTAAAATTAGGTCACAATGGAACCCTAGCAAAGACCTCAAAAGGAAGAGGTGCCCCTGAAGAAATTTTAGAATAGGCAGAGAAACACACAGAAAATCTAGAGATTGGGGCCATGAAAACTAAGAGAACACTTGAAGGACACTCAACAGTGTCAACTGTAACATCAAGATCAAGCCAGGTAAGAATTCAAAAGATTAGCTCAGTGGTCTCCTGGACAAGAACTAATGGTTGGCAGTAGAAGCCACGAGGCAAAGCATTTAGGTGTGAATGAGGAAGGAAGGAAGACAGAAAGGGTGGGCAGCTCTCAAGCCTGTTTGTTGAAGAAAAAAGGTGGCTAGAAAGGGACATCAGCTTCAGTCTCCTCGGCGTGGAAAGCTCTTCCTCACACACAGGCATTACAGCGAGGCACACAAGAGAAAACCCTGGGGAGAAAAGGGGAGGCGGCCAACACCATGTAGGGGGACAAATCACCCTTACCGGGAAGGAGGGACACCTCTTCACCCGATAGGAACAAGGGAGGTAAGGATGGATGTGGATGATTCTGTAAGTGAAAACTGACGGTTTTCCCACCTAGTGTTCTTTATTTTCACTATTAAGTAGGAAAATACAGTCATCCCCTGTGACAGGAGGGGGGTGGGTGTGACTCGTGGTCCAGTGCGCAGAAAGGTTGCCTGTCCCATTCTCGGTAGGGGGTGTGCAGGAGGCCACCAACTGGTGTTTCGCTCTCACAGTGATGTTTCTCTCTCTCTCTTCCCCTTCTTTCCTCTCTAAAAAAATTTAAAAGAAAAAAAATTTTTTAAAGAGAGAGTGGTTGCCCTGGATGGTCTGGCTCCATGGTTAGAGTGTCAGCCCGTGGACCAAAGAGTTGCGGGTTCAATTCCAGTCAAGGGCACATACCTTGGTTGCAGTTCAGTCCCCCACCCTGGTCAGGGTCATGCAGGAGGCAGCCAGCTGATGTCTCTCTCTCATGTCAATGTTTCTCTCTCTCTCTCTCGCCCCCTCCCACTCTATCTGAAGATAAAAGGAAAAAATGGTGAAACTTTGTAACAGCAGTGGAGAATGAGTGTGAGCTGACTAGGGACACCTGATGGGACGGCCCGCCAGCTGGGGACCCAGTATGGTTGAAGACAATGTCCGTGCAGTGGCACCACACTGACAGTTGTATGAGGTGTTGTATGAGGCCCCACTCTTTTAGATTTTCCATGTTTCTCTTCCGATTCTAAAATCTCTTCAGGGGCATGTCCTGCTTCAGGGTACAGTTGGAGATATTTGCTAGGGTTCCACTGTGACCTTTATACATTCTCCATAGGTTATGAGTCATTCCTGTGGTTCTACCCCGTTACCTATGACTCAAAAGTATGAAGTTCTGCTGGGAAAAAGCAATGCAAAGATGGGCATATATGACCCCAGGAAGAGGTGAGCTGCCTCTTATCTTTGCTTTCCCCATCACTTACTTCCTTGTGAGTTTCATCCTTAACCAAGGACAACAGTTCTCATCCCCAACAGACCCAATGTCCCCTTTTAATAATGAACACTGTTAACACCACTTTACTCTCCTAAGGTCAAGTCATGATAACCAACCTAATAATGAGTTTAAGAGGTCAAGTCAATGCCCTCAAGGTAATGTAAAGGAGATGTAAAGTCAAATTTATGTAAAATAAAAAGTATATTTCAATCTGTAAATCTCAAGAATCACTACAAAAAAAGATTTAATGAAGCAGTCTCATGGCAGTACAGAATCCACAGGAAGACAGAGGTACAATCAGACTGATCAGAGCAGGCTACACTTGAAACTCAGACACCTAAGTAGTTTGACAGTCCCTCAGGCCCGGTAAAAAGTAGCTCATTACTGCATTAAAAAAAAAAAAGTCTGAAGTTTCAGGCTGTTAGAATAATGACTCTAGTACAAGAATTGGAATGTGGCTTGATTTCAGGTAACTCAGCACATAAGAGATGAAGAAAACAGCAAATAAGTAAAATTATACAAGCTGTTTGTTTATCATCTTATCTTTTTAGTCCCCACCCCATTTCCTACAACTCAAAAGTTTCAAGACAAAATCCTACTATCAATGGTGGTCATCTCAGATTTGGAACACAAGAACAGGCCACACTGAGGGCTTTGACCACATCCCTAATGTCAACCAAATAGGAACCATAATGCCTCTCATCTGGACAAAAAGTAAAGAAGACCAAAGAGGACCTCAGGAAGCAGACAGCTTAGGGTTCAAGGTGGCTAGAGCCAGTCCATAGGCTCTACTACCAAGGTAGTTATATTAAACATTATTGAATTCTATTTAATCCCTGTGGATGAGAACCCCTCTTCTGAACGTTGTTTACACGTAAAATACCTACGCACATTTCAGACCTAAACCCTGCTGTCACAGCAGGCCAGATGGGAGACTGCAGAGCCCAGAGGCCAGGCCTCCTACCAGAGTTCCAATGGAGCAAAGAAACATTCTAGCTGTTCCAAGAATTCCTGGAGCTCCATCCCCATACTCTCAGCTTCCCTATAAAGTGGCTGGATGGGTTTGGAAAGCAGAGACTGCGGTGTGCTGTGTGTCAATTAAAAGCAAGATGAGCCCAGCTGGTGTGGTTCACTGGATTGAGTGTCCTCCCATGGACTGAGAGGTCCTAGTTCGATTCTCTGTCAGGGCACATGCCCAGGTTGCAGGCTCCATCCCCAGTAGAGGGCGTGCAGGAGGCAGGTGATCGATGTTTCTCATCATTGTTTCTCTCTAAAAAATCAAAAGCATATTTTTTTTAAAGTTGAAAACAAAAAACAAAAAAGAAGGAAGATAAGCCCTCAGAGTAACAAGCGGGGTGCCAAGGGTCAGTTTGGGGAGCAGACTCTAATTAGAATGTAACACAGAGAAGGTGGCAGGATGTACAAGGCAGATCCAAGCATCTTCATTTTGCATTGATCATGGCATACTCTGTGTACCACAGGCCGACGCTCCAACCGCTGAGCCAAACCGGCCAGGGCGATCATGGCATACTCTGAATCTCTGCGTTTTCGTGTCTCATACGTGAGGTGAGGATGATTGCAATGATACCCTTACCAACCTCAGGAGAGGGTCTGGGTGAAAGGGATTCATATTATCCATGAAGACACTTTGTAGAACACTTTACAAATGTGTTCTCATTATTGTTACTATTTTTAAGGAAGCAGAACTGCGGAGATGAACCTACAGCTCCGTAGGGCTGTGGGACAATAAATACTCACACATTTTATACGCCACACATGTCCTTTCTACTCCCTAGTGGGAAAGACAAGAATCAAAGACTTGCTGAGAGCAAGTGTGCCTATTCTGGGTCTAGGAAGAATACAGTCATAAACTGCAAAATGACATTTCAGTCAATGACAGACTGCTCACAGGGCAGTGATCTCCTAAGATTATACGGGAGCTGAAAAATTCCTATTGCCTGGTGACGACAGAACTGTCATAGCATCTTAGTGCTTTCTGAAAAGAGTGACACCTCTTCAAGAAGAGCCTCAGGCAGGTCTTCAGGTGGCATTCCAAAAGAAGACCCTGTTATCACAGAGATGACAGCTCCATTCCCTTAATGCCCCCAGAGACCTCCCAGTGGGACAAGACGTAGAGGTAGAAGACAGTGATATTGACGATCCTGTATAGGTCTCGGCCAATGTGTGTGTTTGTGTCTTAGTTTTTAACAAAAAAGTTTAAAAAGTAAAAGAAAAATAAAACATTAAAAACAGAAAAAAGCTTATGCTGTAGAATAAAGAAAATATTTTAGCACCGTTGTACAACATGTTTTTAGCTAAGTGTTATTACAGAAGAGCCAAAAAGTTTTTAAAAGTTTATCACGTAAAAAAGTTACAGTAAGCTAGGGTCAATTTGTTATTGAAGAAAAACAGTTTCTGTAAGTTCAGTGCACCTAAGTGTCCAGTGTTTGTAAAGGCTACCGCAGTACGCAGCCAAGTCCTGGGCCTTCGCCTTCACTGACCACACTCACTGACACCTAGAGCAACTCCCAGGCCTAAATGCTCCATTCATGGTATGTGCCCTACACAGGTGTGCCACTGTTTACTTTTATAATACCTTATTTTTACTGTACCTTTTCCATGTCTGCAATATTCCGAACAGTAACATGTTGTACAGGCTTGTAACCTAAAAGCAACTGGCTAGACCACACTCAGGTGTGCAGTAGGCCAGGCCACCTAGGTTGCTGTAAGTGTTCTCTATGATTTCCGCACAATGACGAAACTGCCTAATGATGCATTTCTCAGAGTTATGTCCCATCATTGAGCACCACATGACAGTAGTTGTAGAAAATCCTATAAGGCTGGGAGGTATTTTTGAGAAATATAACGTTTCCAAAATTTTTTCCCCAAAACGTGTTCCATTAGGTATCACCAAAAAGGATTTGGTGGTGACATCAGTGTGGGAACAGGCTTCCTCCCCCAGGCCTTCTCTGAGATCATAAGAATGAAATTTCCAGTGAGGATATGGGATGCAGGATGTGCCAAATTTATTTCACAACAGAACCCCTTTTCCACAGAGCAGCCGTCAAGAGGTTTCATGAAACATACTTTGGGAATTAAACTCTCCCGTTGGACATAATGTTATATGGGCACATGGGCCAGCTTAGAGGGGAAACGAGAATAACTTGGTTAACATTTGATCAACAGGAGGCAGCTGCTGGACATGTCAGAAAGGAGAAATGCATTTTCTCCAGATCCTGAAACAGCACAATGTCTCCCTAAGCCCCTACTCCCAGCCCCCCAGATGCACCAGCTATGCAACCCCCCCGCACGCCAGTCACATACAGTAAAGCTACACTTTATTTTTGTTCTAAAATGTGCTTCTGCCCTCAGTGAACTTTAATCAGTCCAGACCTCCACTTCCCCTTAAAAAAAAACAAACAAAAAAAACACACACACATACACACACGCCACCCTCCAACCAGGTGAAAAATCCCCGGCGATTCGTCTATAACAAATATTGACACGAGGGGGGGAAAAGGCATGTTGAAATGTATTAGAATCAGAACCTGTACAAAAAAAAAAAATTAAAATATAACCTGAAACTGTTCAAGTTCAGAAAGGCTAGTCAAGTCCTTTCCTCTTGCCAGGAGAATGCCATCATCAGAGGGCTCTGGGTCATCAGCCAAGGAGGGGTGGAAAGAAAGACAGAAGCAGCAACAGGTCCTTCCCCAGAGAAAGGGGCCTCGGCACCACCATCCCCACCACAGATGCAGCCGGGAGTAATTAAAGACCCTGGGAGAGCAAGTGTTGGCAGGCAGCCCCAGTGGGCAGCTGGGCCTTCACAACGAACACCAGTCAGAGGAGTCAGAGGCGGCAGAGAACACCAAGCTGGAAGACGCTTCTGCCACCGAGCAGACCCACAGCAGCCTCCACTGGTCCTCAGATATCAGGTGTTAGTCAACCCAGTGCTCCCAACTAATGAGAGATTTGAGCTGGGCTTAAGAGGCTGAACACCCGCAGGTTTAGTAAACAGCCCAGCATCACATCCCCCCATGGCATGATCGGAGCTGCCAACGAGGGACAAGGCAGGAGAGGGAAACAAAGCGTTCTGATCCCCGGCTAGAGTGCCTGCACCAGTGTGGGTGCTGTGGTGCACAGGGCGGAAGGAGGGCCCCGCCTCACTCAGAGCAGAGCCTCCTTCACGGCCATCCCTGTGGCCAGCTAAAGCTGCCTCTGCTGTGACCAGCCTGACAAAATAACATGGAGCAGAAGAAAAACTGGGAGACAAGCCCTTAAACAGAGACAAGAACCTCCGGGAGGGAAGCTGGGCAGTGTCTGCCACTGTCGGGATGGCATCAGTGGAGCCCCTGAGTCTGAAGGGAACAACTGGGGAAGGTGGGTGTGGGTGAGGAAAAGGAGTTAACGGTTCTTCTGAAACAGTACCAATAGGGTGGGAGGCGCTGGTGAGGGGATGGGCAGGTCTGGAACTCACGAAGGTAGAGAGAGGAGGAAATAGGCCCTTGGTGTCCCCTCCCCACCTGACCCAGGCCTGGTGAGTGCCAGCTGCCCCAGCCAGCCCTAGTGGCGGCTGGAGACCAGACCTTTCACTTTGGACATCTTCTTGGTGGGCTGCCTCTGCTCAGTGTGAGGGGGACACTCCCGTTCAGCCAATTGTTGCTCCATCTCCTGAGCCGAGGAGGATGCAGTAGCTTTGAGGGTCTTCTTGATGTTGGTAACCTGGAGGGAGACACAGAATTTGTGTACTCAGCCTGTAAGCACCAGAAACCCACCAGAACTTGTTTTCATTATAATGGGGGCCACCCAGGGAAGAAGCCATAATCTTCCACAAGAAAATCTGAAATTACCTTACCCAGATGAGGAGAAACAAGCAGGCACTACTCATGGAAGATATGTGGTAATGAGTCAAGCAAAACATGGAACTAATGTCTGGTTGGTTGGTTGAAGAGATGGGGAAAGCCACGTGGCTGTGGCCCATCTGGCAAAGAGGCCCAACACCAACAGTGAAAGAAAGCAGTGGTTACAATGGCCTTAGAAAAAGAAAGGGTGGCCAAGAATTCTAGACCCAGCTGATTACTGCTGTTCATGTATGAAACCAAATATTTTCACAAGAACTCTGGGGATATAGCTCCCAAAGCCCTTCCTGAACAAACAACTAGAGGATGAACTTCAGCCCCCAAGTGATGACAAAAATGTAGTAAAAAAAATTGGCAAAATGCCATCGCACTACTGTTTTCGGGATAGCTTTCTTCACTTAACAAAGGAGTGAATATATCTGAGCCACTCCTGAACCCTTTCCCACATCCGAACACACATCCTCTGTAACATCTATGTTCCATTCTACTATGAACAGTCTACAATCTTCAAATTAGCTCCTACTTTGTTTTTCACCATGTGCAGAGCTCCTACGACAGCCTTCTGTTTACCTTTTCATACTTCTGTGAACATCTGTGGAGGACACAGTCCTAGAAGTGATCAAAGAGTGTGCACGTTTCAGTTTAATAACTATTGCTATATTGCCTTCTGAAAAGCAATGTACCAACTTTATGCCTGTTTATGTACATATTCCCTAACACCAGTTCTAACGGACCTTTGATGCTTTTGCCCTTCAGCTAAGAGGAAGAAAAGCAGAAGAGGAAGCATTAGGGTTTGTTTTAATCATTGGAAGGAAGAAAGAGAAGGCTGGTGCAGAGTAAGTTAGTATATATTTGCTGGTGAGAAAGGAAGGGGGATTCTATGTTCACTGGAAAGAAGGCTTGGATTTCTACAACTTTTGTCAGGGTCAAAAGTTGTCAACAGTATCTATCAGAAGCTTCAGTAAGAGGCAGTTCAAGTGCAGAGCTGAAACAACACCCTGAAAGTGAGACAAGATTACATTCACTGGAGAAGTGTCACCTGCAGAATACAACTAGATAGTATGTCATTTTTCTTTCTTTCTTTTTTTAATCCTCACCCGAGGCTATTTTTCCATTTTTTGTTCAGATACAGTGGGAGGGAGGGAAGGGGGAGGGAGAGAGAGACATTGACATGAGAGGGACACATCGAGTGGTTGCCTCCCAAACGGCCCCAACCGGGGCCAGGGACGAATCGCAACCAAGGTACGTGCCCTTGACCAGAATCAAACAGGCGACCTTTCGGTGCTGTCACAGCCAGAAGCAGTCATGCATCTCGCCTTTCCTGCACCCTGTTGTTCTAGCCTGGGTGAGCCTCCTCCTTAGCTAAACACGTGAGCCTCCCTGCAGAGTCCAGCACCTTTCCTACAAACCTGCCTGACCACTCTAGCCCACACCAACCTGCCTCCCCTCAACCTGTACTTGTCTGGCACTACCTCTGCCTCTTACACAGCCTCACGTGCCCGTCTCTTTCATGTTTCTGACATTCACATCTAGCTCCTCCAATAAGACTACTGACAAAGGCAAGGAAGTCCTCCATAGAGAAACAGGATTTCTTGGGAAAGTGTTTCTTAGCTCAAGAAATAAGACACTTTATCCTCCACCAACTCTCAGCCTGGCTAGGGGCAGCAACGTGGGCCTCACACTGGGCTGTATTACAGATATGCCTTGCTCAAGTCAGCTCGATTATTAGCATTTTGAGCACACAGAACTCGCAAAGGAAACTACTGAACCAAGAACTCTCATAGTTGAAGGGGAGTTAAGAGTCAACTAGCTTCTTGCAATAACTGGGCAGGTCTAACTGTAGATGGTGCCTTCTGGGATCCAAGAGCAGCTGCTCAGGGAGGTCCACAAATTAAACCTATGTTGGCCTCATAAAACAATCCTGAGAAGCCCAGTTAGCCACCCTTCAAATGATGACAAATACTCCCCCACAGACTTGATGTCCTTGATCCCTTCTAATTTTCTTCCTTGAGTGGCCTGGCTTGCAGGCCATCCTGTCCATTACCCATGATGACCTGGAGTTTATTAAACCCTTCAAAACATGGGTCCCAGGGATTTTCAGGTGGGACTGCACCTGCTGACAAAACTGAAGCCCTCCTTACCATTTTTTTATCCTCACCCGAGAACATTTTTCCACTTTTTTTCAGATAGAGTGAGAGGAAGAGAGAGAGAGAGAGAGAAACATCAACGTGAAAGGGACACATCGAGTGGCCGCCACCGGCACGACTCAAACAGGGCTGGGGACAAACTGCAACCGAGGTATGTGCCCTTAGCAGGAACTGAACCCGGGTCTCTCTGGACCGCAGGCCGACGCTCCAACCGCTGAGCCAAACTGGCCAGGGCAACCAGTTCTTAAATATTCAGGCAAAAGAAGAGAGAAGAGCTTCCCAGGCAGAACCGTGTCTCAGCTGCGAGGCCAAGCAAAGGCAGACAACAGGAAGTAGAGTCCACAGTGGAAAAGAGCTGGGAGATGAAGAGAACACTCTCCAGAAGGAACCAGGAGGCACCCTTTGGTGCACTCTAATGCCAACAAGCCTCAGGACTACCACTACTCTAACTCCTGGGGGATTTTCTACATCATGGAAAGCAGAGCTCCTTTGTCCAATTGCTTTATTACCAACATGACTCAAACAAAGCCTACTTTGTAAATGTAGCCATAGCTATTCCACAGACCATCAGACATACACAAATTCAAATTAATATGAAGGAAAACATGCTCCAAAATCAAATACAAACAAGGAGATGCTTCGACGCTTCAACCAATCATTACCTCCCCTCCAGAGTACTTGCTTGGGGACAGTGAAATAGCTCACAATGCTACTGTTCTACCTTCCCCAGGTATGCTGGAACTGTAACTTATTAATATGTATGATTTCTGTGAAAGGCAAAAAGGAGAATATTCTTAGGCAATTAGTGATGGGGCTGACTGCATTAAGAGGGAGGGCTCTCACCCTGGCCAGTACGGCTCAGTGGTAAGTGCATTGCCCGTGGATCAAAGAGTCCAGGTTCACCCTGGCCGGTTTGGCTCAGCGGTTAGAGCGTTGGCCTGCGGTCCAGAGAGACCCGGGTTCGGTTCCCGCTAAGGGCACGTACTTCGGTTGCAGTTTGTCCCCGGCCCTGGTTGGGTCGTGCGGGGGGCAACCATTCGATGTGTCCCTTTCACGTTGATGTTTCTCTCTCTCTTCCTCTCTCTCCCTCCCACTCCGACTGAATAAAAAATGGAAAAATGTCCTCAGGTGAGGATTAAAAAAAACAAGAGGGAAGGCTCTTGAAGCTACAACTCACCAAAAGGAAGCTGCTATTATAGGTTTTGAGGGGAAAACATCAAGTTTTTCCCTTTGAGAAATAGCTAGCTAACTTAAGGACAAATAAGAAAAGATCACCAACTCAGGTGATAAGAATGGCTAAAAAAGTTAAGCCAAGTGTAACAGAAGCATAAGCCAGCAGAATATGCTAGAATTATACTTTTGTTCTTTACAGATTTTCTTTTTCAGTCAACAAATATTTAGCAACCTACACTCAGTAGCCTGATCAACATTTACAACATGGAAAAACTTGCCCAGCCAGTGTGGCTCAGTTGGTTGGGCATCTTCCCATGTACCAGAAAGTTACCAGTTTGATTCTCAGTCAGGGCACATGCCCAGGTTGCGGGCTCAATCTCCAGGAGGAGGCATGCAGGAGGCAACCAATCGATGTTCTGCTCTTACATCCATGTTTCTCTCACATTCTCTCTCCTTCTTCCTTCCCTCTCTCTAAAAGTCAGTTTTTTAAAAACTGACAAGGCTCTAGGCTTTGATCATGCTCCCTCTCTTCTCATAATGGTTTGTTCCAGATTTTCTAAACAATTATTAAATCAGTAGATTGTTTTCATTGGTACTGAAGGTGGTCTATTTTTTTTTTTTATCCTCACCCGAGGACATTTTTCCACTTTCTGTTCAGGTAGAGTGGGAGGGAGAGAGAGGAACAGAGAGAGACAGAGAAACATCGACGCGAAAGGGACACATTGAGTGGCTGCCACCCGCATGACCCAACCAGGGCTGGGGACAAACTGCAACCGAGGTACGCGCCCCTAGCGGGAACCGAACCCGGGTCTCTCAGGACCGCAGGCCGACGCTCTAACCGCTGAGCCAAACCGGCCAGGGCTTGAAGGTGGTCTTTAGCCTTTTCCTCAAATTTCTTTCTCTCAAACTTAATCTAATCTTTACTGCCACCTGGTGGTGGCATTAGGTTTTGCTAGCAGGGTTGTCCATAGCCATATTTTTGCATCTGACTACAAATCCATGTGTCCTGACTCTTTTTCCGAAAAATAATCCTAATTTTAAAAATCCACACCATTGTCTAAGTACTGGTCATGACTCAACATAAGCCAAGTGTCTAAAGTGTCTGCTCACACCTACCTTCTTTCATCAGATGCCATTCACCATGGAAATAAACTTGAACCATAGAAATTCTAAAACTAGTATCATTCATTGCTCTTGGCTAACCACCACAATCCAAGCCTGCCACCTACCACACACTGGCAACAATCCAGGCACGACGGGGCAGCCAGCAGTGATCAAGCTTCTGACCAGGTTAAAGATAGTTTGCTTCACACAGGCTACCCCAGTCAGGCGGGCATATTTCACCTCCAAACCTCATGTGTTTCCAGGGTTTGATTTATAGATTAGACTTAATGGAGAGGACAGAGTGATTAGCCCTTCTTACTTTATTCAGACATCACTCCCAGGTCAGAGAAGAGGCCACGATATTCAAGAAGGTGGTAGTAACACAGCTTATTAGAGAAGCAGCAGGCTTATTTTCACAGTTGTATTTGTCTTTGGCTAAAGTTAAATGAAATGTAGTTCATACTTCTTCGGCTAAAAATAGGGTTAAAAATTTATGATGGATTGAATGTCTAAAGAGTATGTATAGTACATAGAAGAGTGTGTGTATATCCAAAATGAATTCACTCTAGTTCATGAAAAGCAGAGTTTAGCAATTCTCTGATACACTTATAGGCTGTGCCAGAAATATTCAGTTCAATAAACACGTGAGCCACTACTATGGGGTAGGCATGAGACAAGGAGTTAATCTTACAAAGACAAGAAAGACACAGGCTTTATTTTCAAGGATACATAGAACACAGTAGGGGAAATAGTTCATAAATTCCCCCCTTCAAAAGGCACACTACTTATGTTCCTTAGCTTAATTCTGGGCCCCACTCTGCCACACTTCTGGACACCTGGTTTATAAAACTCATTAAATACCATTAATACTTCAAGCCCTATCACACTAGAAAAGGATTTCCAATGCCAACATTTTTTAAGTAAATTTTTAAAATTGATTTGAGTGAGAGGAATGGAGAGAAACATTGATCGGTTGCCTCCCACATGCACCCCAACTGGAGATCGAACCTGCCACCTGAGTATGTGCCCTGATTGGAAATCGAACCCGCCACCTCTTGGTGTACGGGACAATGCTCCAACCAACTGAGCCACACTGGCCAGGACCCAATGCTAACATTTTGATCTTAAGGGCTCCAAACAAATTCTGAGGTCACTCCATAGATGTCCAGGCTACAGGTATACAAACAAACGCCCATTAACTCAAAGAGTGGAGCCTGTGTCCCTCCAAGAGGCTAAAAGTGACAACCAGGTGTCACTAAAACCACAATCACACACTTTTATCTTCACTTGCATTTCATCCACCAAATGTTTTCCCTTTCTTCTTTTTCTAGAATGAAATATGTCACCCATTTAAAAAGGCTGTAACATACACGTAGCTTAGAGAAGGATGAAATGAACCCTGCACCTACCACACAGCTTAAGAAGTAGAGCAGTACCAGGGCCCGTAGCCCCATGTGCCCCTGTCCAACTGCACCCTTCCCGCCCCTGTGCCTGGTAACCACCACCCTTCTAGCCATCTGGTTTTTGTTTTTTATAACCCATATTCTTTCTTTCTTTCTTTTTTAATCCTCACCCAAGGATATTTTTACATTTATTTTCAGACAGTGGGGGGGGGGGGGGAGAGAGAAAGAGAAAGAGAGAAACCTGGATGTTGAGAGAGACACATCAACTGGTTGCCACCCACATAACCCCAACCAGGGCCAGGGACGAACTGCAACCAAGGTACGTACCCTCCGCTGGAATCAAACCCGGGGCTCTTTGGTTTGCGGGTCGACGTTCTAAACTCTGAGCCAAACTGGCCAGGGCTAATTATTTCTTAGCAGACATTTTTCTGAGGGAGAATGTACCAATTTTTAAGACATTCTATTGATACTAAAAGTTAAAATGAAGTAAAAAAAAAAGTATCCCTTTTACATCAATGATAAGTTTTACTGACTTCTGAGGATTGCTGCAATTTTAAAGATGCTGTTTTAAGTATCAATTTTTTACATACCTGCAAACATACAATGATCTATGAGTAAAGGGCTACAGCATCATCAGTAATTCTAAATCTGCCCTGGCCTGTTTGGGTCAGCGGTTAGAGAGTCAGCCCACAGACCAAAGAAGTCGAGGGTTCGGTTCTGGCCAAGGGCATGTACTTCGATCCCCAGCCCTGGTCAGGGTTGTTCAAGAGTAACCAATCGATGTCTCTCTCTCACATCAATGTTTCTACCCCCCCCCCCCCAATATCTGAAAATCAATAGATAAATATCCTCAGGTGAGGATTAAAAATACTACTACTAATAATTCTAAATCTATTTCTAAAACAATAAAGTAGTATAAAAACATTTTACTCCTTCATAGAAAACTTTTGCATAGTCCTTTGCTATTTTTCCAGAAAATAAAATATTGATGGTGTTGATCTCTGAATTTGAATTTTCTTGTTCTTATAGTCCAATCTTCAAAACGGTCATTCTGTTTCCACCATAAGTTGAAGAAAAGATACGTGAAAGTTTTCCCTGGATATACATTTCTTGCTATAACACAACCTGGCTGTAGGGGGCTAACATCTACTTTGTATAATTTATTTACTGGCTCGACTTCAGGTACCCCACTGACTTGGTTTATTAATTCAAGTGGCTTATCAGATCTGCTTCACAGTGCTGTCCAAAGCAAATTCAACCAGGGAAGCTGATATCTTGCTGCACACCACAGAACAAAACTAAGAAGAGTTTAGACTGGCACCTCCTTATAGCAATCTTTAAGGTACATCCCCAAATTTGTTTCTTTTGCTCTTCAGCTGCAAAGTGCATGTGTACTGAGGAATCACAACATTCTGTGCTCTCCAAGGCTGCTCCCACTCTGCCAACCGGCAGGCAGAAAGGAGATGGAGAGCACCTTGCACAGAGACCGTGTCACACTCACTTCCACTCCAGCACCAGTGCCTATTTGTTGATGACTGCTTATTTCATCTACAAGACTCACAAGATGAAGAAACAAACGGATCCCCAGGAGCAGGGGAACAAAGTCCCCTTCCTTACCTCTGCCTCCACCTGCTGCTGAGTTCGGCTGTGGTTCTCCTTGTACTGGTTGGCCCTCAGAACTTGCTGCTCGATGCCTAGCAGAACAGCTTCACATCCATCACACCTGCAAAGGAGATAACCAATCCTGAGCCACAGAAAGGCCTGGGAGCTCTCCGCCAGGATCCAAAATCCCACCCCCCATCCCAACTCCTCACAGGTCTTTCTGTAACATCCCCTTTACAGGGCTCTTACCCCCGCACTCCTTCCCAGAAACAAGCGTTTCTAACATAGAGCACATAAAATAGGGCACGTGGAGACAAACATGGAGGATGTGGGGTAGTTTCTTAGAATACAGCTTTAATCTCCAAGCTCTCAATCCCATGGGAAAGTCTTCCATATTGTAAGAGAAAAGGACTTTACACTCTTCTTGATAGAAAAAATTATTTTCTAAAAGCTCCTACTGTGAAGATTGCCCCTTTTAGTAGACATTTAAGTTACTTCCTCACTGTCATCCCCCTCAGTTTCTTTGCCCTACTTTTAATTTTGAAAATTTTGAAAAATGTTGAAAGAATAGTATAACGAATACCCACATATCCTTCACTTAAGATTCAATAGCTGTGAACATTTTGCCCTATTTGTGGTACTGGTCTACATCCCAATTTTTTTTTTTTTTATCCTCATCCGAGGACATTTTTCCATTTTTTGTACAGATAGAGTGGGGGCGGGGGGAGAGAGAGAGAGAGAGAAACATCGACGTGAAAGGGACACATTGAGTGGCTGCCACCCGCACGACCAACCAGGGCCGAGGACAAACTGCAACCGAGGTACGTGCCCTTAGCGGGAACCGAACCCAGGTCTCTCTAGACCGCAGGCCGACGCTTTAACCGCTGAGCCAAAGCGGCCAGGGCTACATCCCAATTTTGTTTCAACATGAACTCCAATGCCTGAACACAAGTTTTAAGATTCTGGACTAATAAACATCCTACAACGGGGGTTAGGATGGCACCTCTGGGTGGAAACATCCTGGGGGCTAAAAACAAGGGAAGCCAGACTATGGACATGAAAACTGTGTCAGTCATCTCAAAAACAGTCTAAGACAGCCCTGGCCGGTTTGGCTCAGCAGTTAGAGTGTCGGCCTGTGCTCCAGAGAGACCCGGGCTCGGTTCCCGCTAAGGGCACGTACCTCGGTTGCAGTTTTTCCCCCAGCCCTGGTTACACTGTGTGAGTGGCAACCACTCGATGTGTGTCCTTTTCATGTTGATGTTTCTCTCTCTCTCTCTCTCTCTCCCTCCCTCCCACTCTATCTGAACAAAAAATGGGAAAATGTCTTCAGGTAAGGATTAAAAAACAGCCTGACAGCCAAGTGCAGTGGTTGAAAAGCTAGATTGTATACACCAGACCATTTTCATGTTAGGGGTATTTTCTAAGTTTATTTCCCATTTATTCTGTATTAAGTTTTTTTGAAAGCTCCTTTTTTGGTCAGAGGTTGTCAAGGGTAGGTGTTTGGGGTCACACCGGGGCTAGAACTTGGGGTAAGGGGTGGGCAGCACATGCCCTGGGGTCCAATAGTAGCTGAAGTGAGGAAAACTTGGTGGGAGGGTGGCATTAGACCCCAGGGAGTCAAAGCTGGGTCATTCATCTCTGGATATACTCCTCTTGGGGATAAGCCAGAGATTTCATCTATTTTATAGAAAATAATTTCCCTCCCACCCTGCACAAAAAGCTAGCCTACTCTGCTTCCTGACCTCCAAAATGCCATGAGCCTGCCAGGGCACATACTCTCCTCACCTCCAACCACACTCTAACCCTGGCCCTCCTTCAAAACTCAGCTAAAACCTCATCTCTGACTAAGCCCATCTGGCTGTATAAGCCCCAAATTATTTAAATAACTTCACAACATTACAAAACCTGAAACAGCTCTTGCAAACATGAAGTTCTATTAAAATAGAGTACATGCAAATACCCCACTTCTTTTTACATACCAGAATACAGTTATACTAACACAGTGTGAGTCTGTGTTTCAACTTAGAATAACCCATTCCTTGTCTTCACTATCCCTCACTACATTTTATAAACACTAGGCAAATGTTACTGATGCTGAACACAGGTTTTCTTACCCAAAGAATCTTACCAACACTAACTTCCTGAGCTTGGTCAAACTCTGAGGCTGAGTCTGCAAAGCACAGGATCCGTGTCACATGGCTAGGCTTCGGAGGCTCCCTGTGCCAACCCTGGGAGTTTTACAGCCCACCATAAAATAGTCCCCAACTGCACCAGGACAAGAACTATTTTACAACCAAGGCACTAGGAGGCCTGAAGTGATTCCTGCTGCCATACAGCTGTAGCCACGAATGTAGCCCCTCACTCTCTGGCTTACTGTCCCAAAGCCCCAGCTCCCAGCCAGCTCCAGCTAATACCTGGAGACTGTATTTCCCCACACAGAAGCTAGATACCCCCTCCCTAAAGAGAAGGGACTCCTCCATCTTTCAGCCTCACCACTCGTGCAAGGTCTTGACAATATTATTGATATCCTTCTTTCGGATGTCACGGCCAATGCAGAAGTCCACTTCTAGCAGCTGGTTTCGCTGGTCCAACTTGCCCTGGATGATGTCAGTGTAGACAGCCTCAATGATGAGGTCTTCCAGTTCCCGGAGATTCCGCATCTCCAGGTCCTTCAGCAGCACGGAGTAGGGGATACACTGCAGATAAGGCCATGTGATATTTATAAAAACCACTGGCAAACATTAAAGAAATGCAGGTATTACCAACATAGCCAACGGCTGCTTCAGGGCTTTGGGAAATGCAGTGCAGTGATAATTATTAACACCTATGGCAACAAGAGATGGATAATGAGCTGTAAGATCTGTGGGATCCAAACAAGACCCATAGCATCTAGGAATGCATTCTCCAGGATTCTCTGCCTCCTGGACTTTGCCCCGCCTTCAGCTTTCATTCTCTGAAGCAAACTCAGAGATGCCAAAGACTCTTTCCAGAAAAGAAAGGAAAAATACTCAGTATATGCTGCTCTTCAACCTTCTAGAAGCTTGCAGACATTGCATAAAATGCCAGATCATCATAAAACTCCAAACAATCTCAGACACTGGGGAGGAGAACTGGGAGCTTACATGGCAGAGCTCAACCTAAAACACATCCAGGCTGCCCTGGCCGGTTTGGCTCAGCGGTTAGAGCGTCCGCCTGCGGTCCGGAGAGGCCCGGGTTCGGTTCCCGCTAGGGGCATATACCTCGGTTGCAGTTTGTCCCCGGCCCTGGTTGGTCGTGCGGGTGGCAGCCACTCGATGTGTCCCTTTCACGTCGATGTTTCCCTCTCTCTCTCTTCCTCTCTCTCACTCCCAATCTGTCTGTACAAAAAATGGAAAAATGTCCTCGGATGAGGATTAAAAAACAAAAACACATCCAGGCTAACACATCCACCTACAGGTGGTCAGCAGTACAGCCAGCTCAGAGGCCATCCTCAAGCTTAGAGTTGTTTTTTCAGACTCTTGCAACTAATGTCAATTCCCAACAACAGTCCTTGACTGGGCTGTAACAACATTCTGCATGACGCCAAGACAACTGAATATCTAAATGTTTAATTTTCTGCAAATCCTGACACATTACTTTTAGTTTGAAAATAAACACAGTGATCAAATCTGAAGAAATTGACAGGGGGAAATGGCTACAGACAAGAGAGTTAACAGCAAACATACCAAAAGGGGTTTTCTGTGACTAAGTCTGAAATCCAGGGGCAGTAGGAGGGCTTACAAAGACAGGTTGTAGAAATAAAGGAAAAAGTTACTCCTACTCTTTGGTACACTTAAGAAGTCCATGATCAGGACAAAAAAAATAAAAAATGGTAATCAACATTTCTTAACAAAATAGGCCTCCTATCTGAAATGCCAGGCTGAGAATTAGGAGTTCGAGATTCAATCAGGTAAAGTGATTTCAGCAATTGAAATAGCAATGCAAGAATAAACATGTAACTCTGAAGCTCCGATCACAGAGGGGAAGTGCAAAAAGCAACTTTTTCAAAGGCCGAGCCCCAGACACTCAGACTGTGATTGGGCAGAGAGCCAAATCAACTATAAACTAACCGAATCTGGATCTTCTTTGCTAATGACTATGAGCAGCTGGTTCAAGGCTGCTTAAGTGAGCAGGGCAGAGAACTCAGATATAGTGGAGTGACAGCTTACAGAAGGTTTGGGTCTAAAGCTAACATGTAAGGCAAAAATTCTGATTAGTATAATTAACCTTGAAAACCCAAGGAAGGCAGCATATTAAAATCTATTTCTCAGTAAGTCCAACATAGCAAGTTTTTCCTCTAGCATTAGCACAGTTCACTGTACACTGAGCAATAAATGAAGTCATTAACTTGCCTTGGGGTGCCCTGCTGTTTGAAAAATACATGTCTTTAGACAGCAGTCTCCCTTCAGAATGGCAAAATGCTCACACCACGTGAGGCACCACGGCATGCCAGAACTGAGACCTGCTGATTCACAATCACTCCTGGGCATATTTCTCCTAAATGGGAGAGTGAGGAATCATCAACACTATTTTAATTATCTTTTTCTCTTTTGTCCTTTGCCAAGCAAATTTTATGCATTTATGCTATGACTCTACTGTGTGTAGCTGGGAATTCCCACACTGATGCCAATGAGAGACCTGTGCTGAAGTGGGGAGACAGGAAAGGATTCGGGACTATACCTTCATTCTCGACGCCAAGCTCACGATGGTAAGGTGCTTCAGCTTATTCTGCTGAGCTGTGCTCAGTTCTGGCAGGCTCTCCTTGTTGGCTGCTCAGTCCCACCCACCACAAAAATCAAGACACAAAATAAAATTAGGATTTCTTTATGGAATAAGCACACCATTTTCCCACACCAAATCTACTACTAAATCAGTCATGACTCTGCACTTACTCATTAGGTAAATGTTCCACGAGCACCTCCTGTCTTCTCTGGAAGACCATGTGCTTCCAAAGAAGACAAGACTCAGTCTCTACACACAAGGAGCTTAATCCCCTGAAAATCCAGGCATGAAAGCACAAAATGATGACAAATACCTTAATGGAATAATATTATTTGTGCCCTTTGTGACATTCAAGCAAGTTCAACACATTTTCACTGAGCATCTGCTCCATGCAAGGCACTGTCTTAAATGATTCAGGGGCACTGAGGATGAATAAGATCTTGTCAAGGCTGCTGTGCTACACACTTCCAGGGGCACCAACCACCTGGAGTTATGTGACTGACTCAGTAGCCCTGGACTTGTCTTCATTGTTACAATCAGATGTTTCAACAGCTACAGATGCAAGGCAGAACTACCAGAAGAAAGGTACCAATTACCAGGAGAGGGCAAAAGGGTGAAGAGAGGGGGAAAGGAGGGAGAAAGGGAGAGCGAGCTAGGAAAAGAGGCGGAGGAGTGAGAGAAAGACAGAAAGGAAGTGAACCCAATCACATTGGGGAGGTACAGGAGAGGGGGAAAAAAATACAGCCCATCTGTTGTGGCTCAGTGGACTGAATGTCACCCCATGGACTGAGAGGTCCTGGTTCGATTCCCAGTCAGGGTACATGCCTGGATTCCGGGCTCAATACCCAGCAGGGGATGTTCAGGAGGCAGCCGATCGATGTATCTCTCTCACATCGATGTTTCTCTCTCTCTCCCTTCCTCTCTCTGTAAAAAAATCAATAAAAACATATTTTTTTAAATGAAAAAATAAAAAATAATACAAAGTTTGAGATGAGCCTTGAAGGATGGGCAAAATTTCAGTAACAGCAATGATGCTAACAACAGCCACGGTGGCAGCAACAGGTAACGTACATGGCAAGCTTTCTTTAGTGTAGACGCACACACAGATACAGACGCACATACACACATCCAGTTAGTCCTCGCAACAACCCCAGAAGATAAATTCTAAACGCTTTCAATTCCTCATCCATACTCTGAATTCCAAAAAGGTGAATCCAAACTCATTTTTTGTTGTTGAGCATGGTGTTAAAATTCATCTGGTAGCAATTCCTGACCTGAATTAAGGTGGGTTTTTTATCCCACTTGTGAATATTCACTTGTTTTGCTACAAAATTATGATTGTGGCCCTGGCCAGGTGGTTCAGTTGGTTGGAGCGTTGTCCCATACACCAAGAGGTTGTGATTCGATTACTGGTCAGGGCACATAACTAGGTTTTAGGTTTGATCCCTGGTTGGAGCATGTATGGGAGAAAACCAATCGATGTCTCTCTCAATACTTTCCTCTCTCTAAAAACCAATAAAAAACATATCCTTGGGTGAGCATTAAAAACAATCATGACTGTGTTTGACTACAGATGCTGCCCACACCCATCAAGGGTGTTGCATAAAAAGGCATACGCAGCCATGGCCAGTTTGGCTCAGCAGTAGAGCGTCGGCCAAGGGCACGTACCTTGCTTTTGGTTTGTCCCTGGCCCTGGGCAGCGTTATGCAGGAGGCAAACAGTCGATGTGTCCCTTTAATGTCGATGTTTCTCTCTCCTCCCTTCCTCTTCCTCTCTCTCCCTCCCACTCTGTCTGAAGATAAATAGAAAAATATCCTCAGGTGAGAATTAAAAAAAAAACAAATGCATCATATTACTTTTTTAAATTCCCCCAAATTCTAAATTCTGAAACATCTAGCCTAAGGAGTGCAGGCAGAGGACTATGGACCTGGATTACTGCAGAGAAGAAAACTGAGGTACAGAAGATTATTTCATTTGCCAAAGGACATGACCAATGGAGGTGGAGCTAGAATATAACATAGGCAGCCTGGTTCCAGAGTCTGTATAATGCTGCCTCTTTACTGAGAACAAAAACAGAGGAAAAACTGGCAAGTGGTAAACTGTCCAGTCTGACAGCAGCTAAGAGTAAGCAGAAATGACCAGCAAGAAAGACAGTGAGAAAGAGGGAAAGTCAGGGATATAGTAGGGAAGGTCCTGAGTCACACCGCTAAAATAAACTATCAGGCTCTTGTCATGCCACTAAAATAAACCAGGGAAGCCAGACAAAACTGGCTTGGGTAGAAGGTAAGTAGCATCTGGACATTTATGCACCTCGATCCTGATATTTATTATTCTAATTTTAAATGACTCAAATGACCTACAGAAGAGAATGAATGAACCAAGGAGATTATGGAGTATGAGGTTATAAAATACTAAAAATGACTCCAGACTTAAAACATGAATAAATGCCTATAAAATAAATGACCAAAGATACAAAATTGTATACATAATCTAATTATACATATAGAACACCCAAGCAGAGTGGGAAAATCCAGCACCATAATGCTATCAGCAGTTTAATGCTGGTACAACTATGAATGACTTTTACCCCCTATTTTCCAAATGTTCTTCAATACAGTATAGTGTTATTATTTTGATAATATTTAAAGTGCTTAAATACTTCACAAGTGGGTATTCTGACATTTCACAACACTCCAAGTGTTCTACAAACACCAGTCCTCAAGAATCTTATCTGGAAAATAACCAAGGGCTATATTTACAGACTAGCATAAACAGTCCCCATTTTACCCACTGGGAAACAAAAGGTGAGAAGGGAGAGTCCTCATGTAAGATCACCTACAGGGCAAAGTAAAACGGGGAATGGCCAGGTCAAAAAGTTCCCACCCCATGCTTTATATCCCAAACCTCAGTGATCCTCATGGAAGCAAAACATCTAAACAGAGAGACATAACTAAGAAAAGTCTCTGGAGAATCTTAACCAACTCACCTATGTAATCTGGGTATGTTCCATAGGCAAACAGGTTCAGCAACTGCAAATACGCAGCATTCGCTCCTTCTGCAAGCTGAGGAGGAAAAGAAACAGTTCACAGACCAAGCTGTCTACCAAACTCCAGTGTTCAATCAGAGGGTGGGTAACCATGTGCAACAGTTCTGTACTGTTTTATTAGCTGGTCCCTTCCAGAGCTTTCATTCTTTGGGAAAAAAATCATTAAGATTATTAAAGCTCCCAATTTAACTTTTCTCGCTCAGGAATACGTTTTGCACTTCACACAGTATGACCAAGGAACTGCTTTTGCTTCCACACACACACAAGCAGTTCATGTTTTCTCAAGATTCCCTTGCCATTAAAATGATCAGTGAATTGCCCAGCTAGTGTGGCTCACTGGCTGAGCATCGACCCATGCACCAAGAGGAAGCCGGCTCAATTCCCGGTCAGGGCACATGCCCAGGTTATGGGCCAAATCCCCAGTGGGGAGCATGCAGGAGGCAGCCGATCGATGTTCTCCATCATCGGTGTTTCTCTCTCTCTCTTTCTCCCTTCCTCTCTCTCTAAAATCAATAAAGAAAAAAATGTTTTTAAATGATCAGTGAAGCAGCCTCATCCACACACCAGTTTGGCAGGTACAACACAAGCCACTAACAATCTAAACTGAACAAAGTGCAGGGTTTGTTCTAAGTTTCAGGACTTTATGTGGACTGTGACACTGGGAGAGATTAGCACAGCATAAGGTATGACAGAAGAGCCAAGTTGGGACAGGAAACCAGGATATCAGGCTACCCAAAATAAAAATGTTCACTAAAATTATTTATTCTTGCCCTAGTTGGTTTGGCTCAGTGGTGGGAGTGACAGCCTGCGGACCAAAAAGTCCCAGGTTTGATTTCAGTCAAGGGCATATGCCTCGGTGGCGGTTCATCCCCAGTCAAGATCGTGCGGGAGGTCCTCAGTTGATGTGTCCCTCTCACATCAATGTTTCTCTCTCTCTCCCTCTCCTTCCCACTCTGTCTGAAGATTAACAGAAAAATATCCTCGGGTGAAGATTAAAAAAAAAAAGTATTTATTCCTCACTAATGCTGGTGGTCAAAGAACTATCTGTAGAAGAAAAACAAGAGCTACTGTTCTGCCTGAACTGCTCTGCCATGCTATCAATCACCGTGACTTGGTTGTTTCTTTTACTCACAAATATGGACCCGTGCCCTGGCCGGTTTGGCTCAGCAGTTAGAACGTTGGCCCTCGGACCACAGAGTCCTCGGTTCGGTTCCCGCTAGGGGCACGTACCTCGGTTGTGGTTCGTCCATGGCCCCGGTTGGGGTCGTGTGGGTGGCAGCCAGTTGATGTGTCTCACAGCGATGTTTCTCTCTCTCTCTTCCTTCCTCTCTCCCTCCTGCTCTACCTGAAAATTAATGCAGGGATGTCCTCGGGTGAAGAGTAAAAAACAAACAAATTTGTTTTTAAATATATATATGGACCCGTTACTCTTCTAATTTACCAAACTCAGTAAAGTCTAAGCAGGAATAACCAAGTCATTCAGTGGACACCAATGAAATACTACTCAATTTTAACCATCTTTTAAAAAAAAGGTTCCAAGAACTACATCCGTAATTTCAGACCACTAAAAGGCAATTATCTTATTCCCAGCTTACATATGGAAAAAAAAATCTATGGAAAGATAAAGATGATTTGCTAAGCAGCCCAATTAGAGCAGGCAACCTAATACCCCAGTCTACCTTTTCAGGTTTATTAACAACCTCCTGAGGTCCTAAATCAGAGGTGGAAGAGACCATCAAATCTAGCTCACACATTTTCAAACAGATGATTACATCCCAGCTGGTGCGGTTCACTGGTTGACTGTTGACCCATGCACCAAGACGTCTCTGGTTCGATTCCTGGTCAGGGCATATGCCCAGTTGGTGGGCCAAATCCCCAGTGTGGGGTATGTAGAAGGTGGCCAATCGATATTCTCTCTCATCAATGTTTTTCTCTCTCTCCCTCTCCCTTCCTCTCTCTCTAATAAATCAATACAGGAAAAAAAAAAAAAAAATATATATATATATATATATATATATATATGGGGGGAAACATCCTAGGAAGTTCCAATAAGCAAACCTTGAATTAGCCATGCACCAAGCACTATGCTGAATCCATGTGAATGAAGTGGTATGTAGGCTTACCCTGTCATTTATGCAAACAATAGGCTACTTTACATAAGGAACTTGAGCATCAGAGGGAGGGGGGTCCTAGAACCAATCCCCCAGGGATACCGAGGTTGGGAAGTAGAGGTTGAAAAGTATAGGTTGCTTTACAGCTCTTTATTCTACCTGGTCATTCTTCACTGGATCATCTCATTTTTTTTTTTTATCCTCACCCGAGGACATTTTTGCATTTATCTTCAGACAGAGCAGGAAGGAGAGGGAGGAAGAGAGAGAGAGAAACATTGATATGAGAGAGACACATCAATTGGTTGCCACCCACACGACCCTAACAAGGGGCTGGAGACAAACTGCAACCAAGGTACATGCCCTTACAGGAACTGAACCCGGGACTCTCTGGTCTGCAGGCCGATGCTCCAACCGCTGAGCCAAACCGGCCAGGGTGGATCATCTCATTTTTAAGGCACAATAACCAAAACTGGATACTCAAGGTTTTAATAAATACAATCAAACAAAGAAGCAAACAAGGCAAAACGGACTACTTTCCAGCTTGTCAGTCATATCCTTTTTACAATTTTACTTTACAAATCTACACAACGTTACCCTTTTCCACAGGAACAATATGTTCCTTATTCATGCTTATGGCAGGTTCAATAGCAATCTTTTTCTGCTATTATGTACCTGACCAGTCTTCCTTGTCTATATTTGTATTAGAGGTTTTTGTCCCTAAGAATACCTGAAATTACCCCTGTTAAATATCAGTCCATGCTTACACTCTGTTTCTAACTTACTAGGTTCAATTGGATTTTCCCCTATATTTCAAATTATTAGCAATTAATTTTACCTCGAGTTTAGATGAAAATGTTGACTAGAAGGAGTCCAGGACATCATCCTTGCTCTCTTTCCCTGTCCACCAATTCCCATCCCTCCCTGAAAAGGGTACCTCACAGGTCCACAATGCTTTGGCACTGAAATTCCTTGGAAACCTGGAGACTCAAAGAAAGGCTTAGAACAAAGAAAATAGAAAATTTGTTTAGATAAAGAAATTGTTCTTACCTCCTGCACATTGGCCAGCTCCAGCAGTTCTCCAAATACATACACTCCAGGCGCCTCCAAGACTTGGCTTATGAGAGCAGTGAGGGCTGAGCCACTAGTACCTTTGGCTAGTAAAATAAACTGTTCCAGGAGATTACTTGAGGGTTTCTGTTCACCTGCCATTCTCTGGCCTTACGATCTGTCCAAAAGAAAAGTGTTTCCATCATCTTCCCTTCTCTTTTGCAAAATCTATGCTTATTTAATCCTGGATCAGATAACAGAATAATTTTATAGTATTAAAAAAAAACAAAAAAACAGTTCCTGAGTCCAGGTGCAGTGACCACTTAGTGAGATGGGCAGGGTTGAACCTGGAGTTAAAGGGATTTTATGCTTATTCTGAAGTTTGAAACATACTTAGTAAAAGTCATTTTATTCCCATCTGACCCTCTCCCAAAGGCAGCATGTTCTAAGCCCTTAAACCTAACCAGGACCTAAAGAAACACACAGGAGTTTCTCAGTAGCTGTTTCATATCCACCTCATTTACAGACTCATTAAGAAAAAGAGAATATTGCCCATACACAGATGTAAGCAAAAGCAATCAGTTACAGCTTCTTCTGTGTCATTAGACTCCCACCTACAGTCAGAGATAAGACAAAAAACAGACCAAGAAAGATGTCTCATTTAACCAAAAAAGTCATGTAAGCATAGAAAAAGAGGGAAAATGATCTTGAAAGATAAGCAGCAATATATTCAAACTAAGAAAATACATGGTGTGAAAGTCCATGAAAAAACACCCTCAGCCCTGGCCGGTTTTGCCCAATGGTTAGAGCGTCGGCCTGCGGTCCAGAGAGACCCAGGTTTGGTTCCCACTAAGGGCATGTACCCCGGTTGCTGTTTGTCCCTGGCCCTGGTTGGGTTGTGTGGGTGGCAGCCACTCGATGTGTCCCTTTCACATCAATGTTTCTCTCTCTCTTCCTCTCTCTCCCTCCTACTCCATTTGAGAAAAAAAAAAAAAAAACTCCCTCAATTTGGCCTCCTACTGATATGTGACATTTTACCAAACTTGACTTCAGAATTTGTGAAACCTCGAGAAAACAATAAAAAGGTCTGAGAAAACAAGATAGTATATTGCCATCCTGAAGACATTAGGGACAGGAGAGTCCCTCAACGGTATAATCTAATCATAGGTTGAGTGTATGTGAACACACACACTGCATACCTACTGAACAGGAATTCTGCAAAAAAGATCACTCCTCCAAGAATGATACGTATTGGGGCAGTATGACAAAAGGAAGGAGAAGAATTATAGTAAAATGAAGCAGAGAACAAGTCAAAGGAGGATAGTTTGGTACAAAAGAAACTAAGTTTTCCTGGGGACGCAGGCACACAGAACTGCAGCAGCCCTTTTACAGTATTAGGGAAAGGTCTTGTCGGAAACAAAACAAGTGAAGTGCCAGGGAATAAAGATTGTTGAGAGGGGAAGAGGAGAAAAGGGGGAAAGGTGGGAGGAAGAAGAGGGTTAGGCGATGGTTAGGAGAGGACGAACGAAAACCTCCTTCCCAGGTGGACACGTGTGAAGAGACTGAATGGAAGGGACTGGGGGTGGAGAGGGATTCGATAAATGGACAAAAATGTCTGTGCCTCCAAGAAAAAATTTCGGCCCATGGAGCAAAGCCCGTGGGAGCAGAGAGGTGAGGAGGCGCAGATAATCGCTTTCTTCTGGAGTGGGACGGTCCGAGGAGGCGGCTAGAGACACAGAGGTGATGAATTCCCGTCGGGGGGGGGCGCTGTTCTGATGGATAGCAGAAGGGCAAAGAGGCAGCTTTTGGAAGTGGAGAAGCGAGAGCAGCCGCGGCGCGGGAGCGGAGGGTCTCGGGCTGGGATGGACTTCCGAGAGGGCGGATCGGCGCTGTGCTCCACACAGGGCGGCGAGTGCTGAGTGAGGAGCCGCGGGGCGCGCTCTCCGGGGCGGGGGCGGGGCAGTGTGGCCGCGGGCTTTCCCGGCGGCGGGCACGAGGCCGGACAGCCCCGACTATCCTGGCCCGCCGGGTCCCGCCTTCTCGCTGGCCCTTACCTGTCCTCGCCACCTCTCGGTCCTCTAGGTCGCTGTCTCGGACTCCCGGCGCCTGCCCGCAGGTTGTCAAGCGTCCATGATCGGCCGGGCGTCCGACGCTTTTCTACCTCCGCCGACCCATCGCCCTTACTGCTCCCCGGGAAGGTTACCGCTGCTGCACTCGAGTTCCGCCCACACTAGGTTCCCCTCGCTGTGTTCACAGCCTCAGACCTCCAGTGGGGCCCGGCCAGGGGAAGAGGTTCCTACCCGACTGTAGCCCAGGAATTGGGGTGGGTAGAGGCCTGAGAAAGGGAATACATCCTAAGCGGTGGTGGGGCCCAAACCGTCACCATCACCGACACCATCACCATCACCATCCTGAACCTGAAATCCACTCCTTTGGCAGAGTTTTGCCCGCCAGGTGCTTCTTATGGTGACCTTACCTACCTTGGGGTATGGAGACATGTTAAGCCCAATAGCAACTGTTCATTCATCGTTTTTCCATGTGCCAAGTGCTGTACATTGTCTTGTTGAATTCTCATAACTCTATGGCCTGTAATATTATCCCCATTTTTCAGGTGCATTAGCTAAACCTAAAAAACCAAAAACCAGTAAGTAACCAAGTCTGCTTTGGAACCTAGGCTATCTGAAGCCAAAGACTATATTATTGACCTCTATTCAGAACGTTTTTAAAAAATAAGCAACAGAGCCCTGGCCGGTTTGGCTCAGCAGTTAAAGTGTTGGGGCGCACAGAGCGAAGGGTTGCAGGTTCAATCCCCGGATGGTCGGGGTCGTAGGCGAGGCAACCAATTGATGTGTCCCTCTCTCATTGATGTTTCTCTCTCTCTTTCTCTCTCTCTCTCTCTCACCTTCCCGCCCTTCCACTCTATCTGAAAATCGATGGAGAAATATCCTAGGGTGAGGATTAACAATAAATAAATAAATAAATAAATAAGCAAGCAAGAGATGGGTTGTGACCAAAATGACATTTGTGGCTGCATTTGGGACTTATCAACTCCCCTAGAAGATGGCTAGGGAATTGCTACATAACTGAATACTTAAGCTGATTCCTCTAAAGTACAGTATACCCCACAGACTTTCAGGTATTATTGTTTGTTTGTTTTTGAGAATACATTTATTAAAGCTGGGGACAGTAAAACAAGAAAGGGCCTAGGACAGAAGAAGCAACAGGAGAGAGCCTAGGCGGGCTGCTCTGGCTCCCTAGGAACGTCATGGGGAAGAAGTGAGCCAAGGCGGGGCTGCTGTCAGCTCCCTGGAGAGTCAGGGAAGGTGAGCCCAGGACAATCTGCCACTGCCCACTGATCCCCTTGTTGCAAGTCTGGTGGGAACCCTTAGAGTTTTGAAGAAAGAAAACTCATTCAAAAATGAGATTCAAGTGGGCGTCCCCCAAGGAGGATGACTGACTATCAGTTCTTCAAGATGAGAAAAAGACCTCTGTTTGCCTTTTGTGCATCAGACAGGACAGATGCAAAGGAGCCTAACACCAACCCATTCATTTATTTAAAAATTTTCTTTAGCACCTATTATGTTCTAGAAGGTTGTATGAAGAAAACACAAGTTTCTTGCCCTTAAAAGCTTCATGTTAAGTGTTATGAGAGACAACACTTTGGGAGCACAGGAGAGAGTATGTTGAGGAAGAAAAAACAGGCACTTTCAAGGCAAAATTGGGAAGAAAGGGAGGTAGTGATCACAGTCACAGAGGCTGGCACAATGCAACATATACTGATGCAGAAAAGAAACCCAGAATAGCGGGAACCAAGGTTTCAGAAATGAGGGACACAGAGCTGAAGTCACATTATCCAGGGTCTTGAAAACCACAGGCCTGGCACTATACCAAATAAATACCTAAATACAGCAAAGTTCCTACCTAAGGGAACTCACTGCCCCCTGGGAGAGACAGGCCTGTTTTGCTATGACAGATGGTTGCCACGGGCATCTGGGAGTACAGGTAAGGCTCTCCATAGGGAGAGGTGATTTAAGGCAGGCTTCTGGAGGAGGTAAGGCTTGAGTTGTGCCTGGAAGAATAAGCAAGCATATCACAAAGGGTGTAGCCATATAAAAGAGTATTTCTTTGATCTTAAGGGCACTGGGGAGCTAGTTAGGATTTTTTAAGCTGTGGAGAGGTATGAATAATGGCCATTTTAGAATAATCACACCAGCTATTATAGGAATGGATTGGATGTGGAACTAACTGGAGTAGGGAAATCCTTGAGGTGACTTGATATATTCCAGATAAGAGACTGTGAGATCTTGAACAAAAGTAGTGGCGGTTGGCCATGTAAAAGAAAGGATGTTGGGCCCTGGCCAGTTTGGCTCAGCGGTTAGAGCGTCAGCCTGCGGTCCGGAGAGACCCGGGTTCGGTTCCCACTAAGGGCACGTACTTCGGTTGCAGTTTGTCCCCGGCCCTGGTTGGTCGTGCGGGTGACAGCCACTCGATGTGTCCCTTCACGTCGATGTTTCTCACTCTCTCTCCCTCCCACTCTATCTGTACAAAAAATGGAAAAAATATCCTCGGGTGAGGATAAAAAAAAAAAAGGATGTTGGAGACATTCAGACCGTAGAAGCTATCAGACTTGATGACCAGTGAAAGCAGAGAAAGGGAAGGAGGATTCTGTCGGGGGAGGGCACAGCTGTCTGGAGGTGGTGTTTGGTGGTGGAAAGAAGACAACTAAGTTCTGTTTGAGTCTATAAGTATTCTGGCAGTGCCTCCACTCTCTCCAGAACAATGTCCAGACTCCAAGGCTGCAGCTAAAGCCCTTTGCAGTATGCCTCCTGCCTACCCTCCTGGCTTTGTCACCCTCTGCACAGCCCAAACTCAAGGCCTTCCCATGTCCTACACAACCTACACCCTACCTTCCCTCACTCACAGCAGGGCATCAGGCTTGATCTGTCTTCTTTGCAAATCTCTTCCCTCATATTTACCCGTTAAAATCCTACCAACAACACCCCAGAGTCAAAGATGGCATCAGTAGTACCACTAAGGAGAAGAAACTCAGGGATGTCAAAATAGGGGAGCTGCCAAGCTGGATACTGATGCGGGACTCCACCCCTAAAGGCACTGCTGAAGAATTTCAAAGAGGTTACTACGATATTACAAGTATATCAATATCAAGAAAGGGAGCATAGCTGGGGTTTCTATGGTACTGGCAACTTGTCCCTGGGGTTTCTATGGTGCTGGCAGCTTCAGTGCTTTTCCACTACTGCTCTTCTTACAAGGAACTCAAATGTGAGCAGCGACTGAAGAGTACCACTGAAGACGGCCCAGCGTGGACTCCACACTCCTGACCATGACCTTTGCTCAACACCTCTGAATCCTTTCATATCTATGGTTAAGAAATGTTTTTAATAAAATCCTACCAACACTGTACACAAAGATTTCTTAAACTTTTTGTAAAAAGCATTAATCGTAAAAGTAAACACTGAACGATTGCACTAGAATTAAGAATTTCTATGCATCAATAGACACCAGTAAGGAGAGTGAAAAGACAAGCTACAAACTTGAAAAGATATTTGCAAGCCTATATCAGACAAAGAACTTCACATCTGGACTGTATAAAGAACTATAAGTCAATAAGAAGACAAACAGCCCAGTAAAAAAAAGTACACAAAAGATGTGAACAAGTATTTCACAGAAGATGACATTTAAATAGCCAATAAGGCCCTGGCCAGTTTGGCTCAGCGGTTAAGAGTGTCGGCCTGTGGTCCGGAGAGACCTGGGTTCGGTTCCCGCTAAGGGCACGTACCTCGGTTGCAGTTTGTCCCTGGCCCTGGTTGGGTCATGCGGGTGGCAACCACTCGATGTGTCCCTTTCGCATCGATGTTTCTCTCTCTCCCTCCCACTCTATCTGAATGAAAAATGGAAAAAATGTCCTTGGGTGAGGATAAAAAACCAAACAAACAAAAATAAAATAAAATAAATAGCCAATAAGGACATGGAAAGGCCCTCAACACCAGACATTGTAAATAAGAACTGTATGTTATGAAATGCCACATTTAACCAAAATGTCTAAAAATAAAAGAATGACAACACCTTGTATTGACAAAGATAAGAGTCAACTACAACTTTAAAAAAAAATAATAATCATGCATTATTTTATTTTTTTATATATATTTTTTCTATTTCAACTAGAACTCTTACATTGCTGGAGAAGGTGAAAATTGGTACAAACACTTGCAAAACTGACAATATCTACTATTGCTGATCACCATACAAGCCAGCAACTCCTCTCCTAGAAATGAATGCACAAGTTGAGAAAAAGAAACATAAAAATGCTATTACAACCCCTGGCCTAGTAGTTCGGTTGGTTAGAGCATCAACTGGCTATACCAAAAGTTGCAGTTTCGATCCCAGGTCAGAGCACATACAAGAATCAACCAATGAATTGGTGAATAGGTGAAACAAATTGATGTTCCTCTCTCAACAATCAATTTTAAAAAAAACAATCAAGCCCTGGCCAGTTTGGCTCAGCAGTTATAGAGTGTCGGCCTGCAGTCTGGAGAGACCCAGGTTCGGTTCCCGCTAGGGGCACGTACCTTGGTTGCAGTTTGTCCCTGGTCCTGGTTGGGTTGAGCGGGTGGCAATCACTCGATGTGTCCCTTTCACATCGATGTTTCTCTCTCTCTCTCCCTCCCACTCTATCTGAACAAAAGATGGAAAAATGTCGAGGATTAAAAAAAAAAAAAGCTGTTACATACATATGGATGAATGTCACAAAAATACTGATGAATGAAAAAAGACACATATTGTATTATATTTAAATTATATTCAAGAATAGGCAAAACTGATCTATGATAACAGAAGTCAGAAGAGTGGTTATTGGGATGGGAGAATACAGGACTAACTGGGAAGAGGCACAAGGAGTGCTGGAATACTTTGACTTGGGGGGAGGGGTGAAACAGGTGTACACATATGCAAAAATTGTGCCCTTACTGTATGTTAAAAATCTAAAGATAAAATTTTTTAACAGAGAGTCGGGCCAGTATGGCTCAGTGGTTGAGCATCAACCCACGTACCAAGAGGTGGCCGGCTCGATTCCTGGTCAGGAGACATGCCCAGGTTGTGGGCCCAATCCCCAGAGGGGGGCGTGCAGGAGGCGGCCGATCAATGTTCTCTCTCATCAATGTTTCTCTCTCTCCCTCTCACTTCCTCTCTCTCTAAAATCAATAAAGGAAAAATAAAAATAAAAATAAATTTTTTTAACAGAGAAAAAAATATCCTACTCATCCTTCAAGTTCAAATGCCACCTCCTCTATCAAGTTTTGTCAGCTGGAATATATCTCTTCATTAGAGCCTCTGTAGTATTCTGATGTCCTTTCTTTCTTTTTTTTATCCTCGCCCGAGGACATTTTTCATTTTTTGTTCAAGTAGAATGGGAGGGAGAGAGAGGAAGAGAGAGAAAGAGAAACATCAATGTGAAAGGGATACATCGAGTGGCTGCCACCCTCAAGACCAACCAGGGCCAGGGACAAACATCAACCGAGGTACATGCCCCGGGAACCGAACCAGGGTCTCTCTGGACCACAGGCCGATGCTCTAACTGCTGAGCCAAACCAGCCAGGGCATGATGTCCTTTTTTTAAATGCCATTTATCACAGTCCATCTCGAATCCCAGTGGACTCTCCTTATTTCCCTACCTAGATGACTATCTTTCTGGTGGCAGTGACCATGTCTTTCACCTTTTACTGACAGAGGGCCTGGCAAATAAAGAAAGCTGAGAAAGCTGTTTGTTGAATTACATGCAAGACAAAATTGGGTGGGTGCCCATATGGGTGAAAGGGGAAAAAAGAGGAAGGAAGGCCTAGGAAAATAAATAGGAGATCTCCAAGGAAACCTTAGCTTACACTACAATTCTCCCTACTTCCTGAAATCTCATTAAATGTCACCTTGAGCAACAAAGAATTCATCAAAACACCAAGTCCTACACAGACTTAAGATAAACAAACATCACACTTACAGGAAATCCACCAAATAAATGCTTACCTAACCTCTGGGTGTTTCAACCTGGATGGGGAAATTTCACCAAGGAGAATAATAATCACATAGCCATGCTGCTAAAAATATCCCCAGCCTAGTGTGCAAAGAGCCCAGACTTCGGGCCTAATTCTAACTCTGCCCCAACTTGCTGTGACCGGTGGACAATCTCTTCCTTTCTGTGGGCCTCAGTTTCCTCATATGTAAAACAACAGGGGTCGGATTAGCAAATTCTCTCAAGTCCCTTCCTGCATCGCTGTTCTGGGAATACAATCACTCTCTCCCAGTCCAACACAGGAGCACAATAGAAACCTCCACAAAACACGTAAAAGGCCCCCGAGACCAACAAACCAGCATGATTTGAAGGAGTCAATTTTGTTACATTATCTTTCATGGTTTACTCAGTGTTTTTGTTTGTTTGCAGCCTTACCATGATTTGCAGGAGACTTCTGAGTTCCATGTAAACAGAAGTTACCTCTCTGTGGGTTGTCATCTTTTTGAGAGTGAAGAGGGTCTTCCCGCTGGGTTTCAACTCTCGGGATTCAGAAACCACCAAAGCTGAAGGAGGGTTTATGAATTTGCGCACACTGCGCGGCACACTGGAGTCTAAGTTACAGAGGAACAGGGTTTATGGAATGCTGGGATTTGTAGTCCCTGAGCCTCTTTGCGCTCTGGGATCTGTGGTTCCCCTGTGTGCCCCTGGAATGCTGGGAAATGTAGTCTTTGCCACATCGCACAGAGCAACGTACCGTCATCTCAGCGCCCAGCGGCGGGAGCAAGCCCCTGGAGCCTCTGCAGATCTGAAGCCAACCACACGCTGGGGCCAACTCCAGGCAACAACAACGACTGAAAAATTTGTCCTACGGGACTTCCTGGGGAGGGCCCTTTGCATCAACGCTCTTCGTCCCCCTGCGAAGCCGCTGAGTGTTTCTATTGGCTCATCAGGATGCCAATCGCCGGGGCGGGCTTTCTATTGGCTCTGGGGCGGGCACTCCGAGGCTAGGGGAAGGAGAAGGGATCAGGAGCGGGAGCCGAGGGGAGGGAGAGGCCGGTCGGAGTCTGGCCGCTGCCGCTGCTCGCCCGAGGTCTCCAGGCCGGACTGCGGCTCAGTCCTCGGCACCGGGGCATCGTCTGCGACGCTGCGTCGGGCCAGCGTGAGGAAGCCGCGGGCGGCGGCTGCCGCATCATGTCAGCCAAGGACGAGCGTGCCAGGGAGATCCTGAGGGGCTTCAAACTGTATCCGCCCGGGAGCGGGGCGGGGCCGGGAGGACTTGGGAGGTGGCCGCTCGCTGAGGAGACGGGCCAGGGACGGGGGCCGCGCCAGGTGGGCACCTGAGGAGAGGCGGCGGCGGAGAGGAAAGGAACGGCATCCCGCGCCCCCGACGGGACCGGGCGCTGAGGCGGGGAAGGGGCGCCCTGAGGGAGGACGGGGAGGTTGGCGGGAGCCCCGGGTGGGGGAGGCAGAGGAGCTCTGGAATTGGGCCGGGAGAGGCGCCGGACGTCGGAAACGGGTGTCGGGGAGCCAGCTTGGGTCCGAGCCCCGGCCCGCCCCCCGCGGCCGGGAAGGGGCTGCGGGCTGCGGCCCGCGGGGAAGGGCCAGGGGGCGCGGCGGGCTGGCCTCGGAGCCCAGCAGCCGCTTTGGCGGGAAGCCCCCGGAGGGGCAGGGAACCGTGACTCGGAGCGAGGGACCTTGTGTGGGGCAGATGCCAGCGCCTGCGTTAAACGCTCGGGTTCCCCGTCCCCACGCCACCCCCGTCTCGTGTCCACAACTTCTCCTCCTCACTTGTGGCTCCTCGGCTGGAGCAGGGGCAGGGGGAGGAGCGGTCCGAGACCGCCCTCATCTCCACTCCGTCTGGGCCCTTTGAGCATTGGACTGTGCTGCTTCTCCCTCGGCCCCTCGTTTTCCCTCCGGCGGGAGGAGAGCCGTGAGCGTTTGCACCGGGGCCCCGGCGAGTCCCGGCTCGCCCGCCTGTGTGCGGTGACCCCGCCGACTCGGCGGAGCTGTCCAGCAGTGACGGCTGCGTTGGCGACCCGGTAGGACGTGCCGCGTCGGGGTGGAAATCATCGCCTCGGGCCTGTTGGGCAGCCGTCGGCGCAACCTCATCTCAATACGGCGAGGAAGCTTTGTGCTTGAATGGCGCGGTCGTCTGTAACCATGCAGGGCGGACGACAGATGGGCAGTCTCGCTTGCCTGCCGACCTTGATCTCTTCTTGCACCCCAGGCACAGGTCGTGGAACATTCTTCAGTTCCCCTCAGTGAAAACGTAGTCGCCACTTCTGGGCTCCTCCCCGGAGGTGGAGGCGCAGTAAGGCGCTGTTCACGATGCCCGTGTCAGCCCTGCAGATTCTAGTGGCTTTGCCGCCATCGGGAAGCAAGTTGGTAGCACACACGTGCAAAGAAGTTACGGGGCGTTTGGGGGGTACAGATGAAAGGTTCGCAGGGGGAGCTGACCTGCGATGCGTGTTTTAGAAGAATGGAAGGCATCACCACCTTTTCATACCGCCATTCGTGATAAACTTTCAGGACCTGTATGTAGTGAAGTTTAGTAACAGCCTCTTCTACAGCTCCACGGGCCTTTCTGTGTTTCTCTTCACAATGGCACCGATAAGTAGAATAGGACGACTGAAGTGTTAGAAAAGCTATGACACGGGTTTTGTTTTTCCCTTAAGTAATTTACATTGTTATTTAACATGTATACTGTAGACAGTAAACCAGAGACTGTAGGGAACTGTGATATTTCAGAAGCAATATTTTCCCCCCGAATTGGAATTAACATATTGCTAAAAATAGGGAAGGGTCTTTTTGATGGCTTTTGAACACGGCAGAAATAGAAAGTTTGAGCTTTTCACCTTCAGTCTTGGTTCTTGAATCTATTGAGAAGGAGGCTAAAGGACAAATATGGAAAACAATAGAAAGAGAAATATCTGGCCCTGGCCGGTTTGGCTTAGCGGTTAGAGTGTCAGCCCACGGACCAAAGAGTCTTGGTTTCTATTCCCAAAGTCACATGCCTCAGTTGCAGGTTCGATCCCTAGCCCCAGTCAGGGTTGTTCAGGAGGCAACCAATCGATGTGTCTCTCTCACATCAAAGTTTTTCTCTCTCTCTCTCTCTCTCTCTCCCCGCCTCCCTCTCTAAAAAACAATGGAAAAGTATCCTCAGGTGAGGATTAAAAAAAAAGAAAGAAAAACCTGTGTTGGCCCACTAGAAGGGAAGGTGAATTAACCAAGTCAGTGATGGCTTTAATGAGTCAAGAAACAGACTTTCAGGGAAAGTTTGATCTGGGATGATTATATCACAAGGGGGCCAGCCATATTTTAAAAGTTAGCATGGGAGCAGTGGAATGCTCATCCTCCGGTAACTTTTATTGGCATCTGAGAATTAAGAAAGAAGAGGAGCCCTGGCTGGTGTTGCTCAGTGGTTAGAGTGTCTGCCCACACATGCTGGTCAAAGTCACTATACCTGGGTTGCAGGTTTGTTATTATAATCCTCACCCAAGGATATTTTTCCATTAATTTTTAGATAGAGTGAGAGGGAGGGAGGGGGGAGAGAGAAACATTGATGTGAGAAAGACACATCATTTGGTTGCCTCCTGCATGACCCTGACCAGGGCCAGGAATCAAACCCTTTGGAGTCCTAGAGGTCTTCAGGCCGATACTCTACAAATGAGCCAAACCAGCCAGGGCATGAGTTGCAGGTTTGTTTCAGGGCCCCAGTCAGGCATTGATGTGTCTCTCTCACACTGATGTTTCTCTCTGTCTCTCTCCTTCTCCCTCCCTCCCTTCCACTTTCTTTAAAAATCAATGGAAAAAAAATATCTTCGGGTGAGAATTAAAAAAAAAAAGAGGGAAGGAGTTCTAGGATTTGATACTACCTTCAAGAAAAATAAAATTGTTTCTTTAAGAAACTACCTGAGCCCTGGCCTGTGTAACTCAGTTGGTTGAGCGTTATCTTGTGCACTGAAAGGTTGACAGTGATTCCCAGTCAGGGCACATGCCCAGGTTGCAGGCGATCCCTCTCCCTTCCTCTCTCTCTAAAAAAAAAAAAAAAAACAACTACCCGACTATTGTCCACCTTGTATTGGGCAAATTGTTTTCTGAATTTTATTTTAGAGTGTCTGTTTCTGTAAGAGTTTTTACTACCAAAAAAAATTGCCATTATATTCTCCTACCAACAGTGTTGACAGTACTCATTTCTCACATTGACTATGTTGGTTTTTTTAATTTTGGCCAGTTTGGACAACAAATGATATCTTGTTTTAGTTTGTATTTCCCTCAATCCCTAGATCCCTGGAGAGGTAATAAATATAGCCTAGTGGTTAAGAGCTATGCTGGACTATAGAGCTACGCTGCCTGCATTGGAATCCCAGCCCTAGACTCCTGGTTTTGTGTCCCTGAGCAACTTTAACTGCTACCTCAACTTCCTCATCTGTAAATGGGGATAAAAATGGTACCTATCTCATAGGGTTGTTGTGACCCTACGAAGAGCACTCAAACTATGAAACTCACAGTATTCATATCGTTTCCTCAGAGGGTTGTTATGAGGATTAAATGAGACTGTATATAAAATGCTTAGTACAGTGTCTGGTACATAGTAAGTAAGTAATAAATGTTAACTGCTGTTATTACTTGTTTTATTAATTATTATTAATAATGAGAGATAAAATTACTGTAAAGCCACTTACTTTTCTGAGATATAACCAATGTCTTCATGCTATTCTCTTTTCTTACTGAGAAAAACTATATTTCTGTTTTGCCTCTTTAAAGAAGTGGTTCAATTAATATGCATTGATGTATACCTAGTGTTTATCTTGTTTTCTAGGAATTAATCACATTCCAACTTATGGCCAAAAAAGAACTAGTTTGGCTCAGAAGGTTTCTAAAAGTACCTTTCACTTGTGTTCTTGCATTTCTTTTCTATAGTTTGGTACTGGATCCCCCATATCTTCTTTGTCATTTGATCTTTGACTTTACTTCCAATCAAAATAGTTGGTTTTATGTCTTCTTTTCACTTAGATTTCCTTATTAAGAATAGTGGACTGTCAAACTTTTCTTGAATGTCGGTATTGCCTAATAGGTGCCTTGGCCAAGTGTTAAAAATGAGTTTAAGACTTATGATTTCCTAAAATATAGTTTTTGTCCCTCAGCCCAAGTTCTGGGAAAGCAACCAAAACATACTACCCATACAGTCAGTAAGCACTGTTGATCATGGATTGTCTAGTCATGGACTTAATGTAGATTGTGATTGGTAGTTTGTTTTCCAGCACACTCATGAATGGACTCTGAGAAGTTGTTACTGTTACCCTGAATGGATTAGTGAATATAATGTCCTATTATTGATCATGTTATTTAGAATTTTTATTTTTTTAATCCTCACTCGAGGATATTTTTTCATTTATTTTCAGACTGTGGGAGGGGGAGAGAGAGATAAACATCGATGTGAGAGACACATCATTTGGTTGCTTCCTGCATAACCCCAACTGGGGCTGGGGATAACCACAACCAAGCTACGTGCCCTTGGCTGGGATCGAACCCAGAACTCTTTGATCTGTGGGCCAACGCTGTAACCACTGAGCAAAACTGGCCAGGGCTTATTTAGAATTTTTTAAACAGGCATTCCTGCTTTCACATTTTTGGGGAGGAACTTGAAGTATAATTAGATATTTACAGTCTTCTTCAGACCTTCTTAATTTCTTTCCAGGATTGTGCATGTTTTACAGTAAAACATTATAGTAACTACTGAAGAAATAGACTAGAACATGGTAAGACTCTCATGGAAAATTCTGGTTATATCATCACTGTATTTGATAAAGTGCTAGCTGAGGTTTGACAGCTCTATGTCCTTATTAGGTTTAACCTCACTTTCGCCTCACAGGCCTCCTTTGCCAGCACTCTACATCAACAAATCCCCATGATAAAGAAGGACCTGACTTCGGAATGTATAGATCTGTCCTTATTCCTGAGCTTTAGCATCATTGGAAGGTATTTTAACGGCCATCTTATCTAGTAATATGACTGTTCCAACCATTGCTTGAATGCTTAAAATTCCAAAGTGTCAAGATTTTAAAAACAGTATTCTTTTTTTGCTTTTGACCTGCTGGTAATTTTGGAGTTGAGAGGAAAAGCATATATATTTTTTCTACACACAGTCCAGTCTCCATAAAGATCTCAGTGGATTAGACTCAAGAAGCACACTGTTTATGACAAAGAAGGTGATAGTCTCACTGTAAGAACACACATGAGGATTTTTTTTTAATCCTCACCCGAGGATATTTTTCCATTGATTTTTTTTTTTTAGATAGAGTGGGAGGAAGGAAAGGAGGGAGAGAGAGAGAAACAAACACATCATCTGGTTGCCTCCCACATGACCCTGACCAGGGCCAGGGATCAAACCCACAACCAAAGTACATGCCCTTAACCAGGAATCGAACCTGTAACTCTTCAGTCCACAGGCCAAAGCTCTAACCACTGTCCAGGGCACATATGAGGAATTTGTTTAGTGTACAGTGAGGGGTCACACAGCTAAGTGGACCTGCTCCAGAGGAGAGTGACTTGAAGTGTGCCATATGTTCAGTAATTGGAGAACTGAGAAGTTTTAACCTGAAGATGAAGAGTTGGGCCATGAGTATTCTCTTCTAAAGTGTTTTTATCTTTTTTTTGATCCTCACCTGAGGATATTTTTTCAAATATCTTCAGATAGAGCAGGAAGGGGAGAGAGACAGAGAAAAACATCGATGCGAGAGAGACACATTAATTGGCTGCCTCCTGCACTACCCCATCCAGGACCGGGGACAAACCGAAACCGAGGTACATGCTATTGGCCGGAATTGAACCCGCAACTCTTTGGTCCGCAGGCCAACACTCTAACCTCTAAGCCAAACCAGCCAGGGCTCTCTTCTAAAGTTTAAAAAACTAGCCCTGGCCATTGTGGCTCAGTTGTTTGGAGCGTTGTCCTGTACAACAAAAGGTGGCAGGTTCGATTTCTGGTCAGGGCACATACCCAGCTTGTGGTTCGACCCCTAGTCAGGGTGCATGGAGGAGGCAACCAATCCATGTTTCTCACATTGATGTTTCTCTCTCTCTCCCTCTCTCCCCCTTCCTCTCTCTATCTTTTTTTTTGGTGGTACATGCCCCTAGTGGGAATCGAACCCGGGACTCTCTGGTCCGCAGGCCGACACTCAACTACTGAGCCAAACTGGCCAGGGCCTCCCCCTTCCTCTCTCTAAAATCAATTTTTTTAAATCCTTTAAAGTTTAAAAAACGATTCTAAAGAAAAATAATTAAATGTGTTCTGGGTGGCTCTCAGAAAAACAAGACTCAAGGATAGCAGTTACAGGGGACAGAGTGTATTTAGTCCACTTTCTAACAATTAAAGTTACCTGCAAAAACCCTACATTTTTTAGAAAGTATTTTAAGCAGTAGATGGATGCCTGTCCATCAAGAGTATTGCAGAGGGAAATTATGAGTGTATCAAATAAGGTATTAGAGCGGATGATCTTCAGAGGATTCAAATCATTTCCAACACTGCAATTCTTTGATTTGGTGACAATGTTTCTTGGTTAACAAGAACTCTTTTCTTCAAGTATTTCTATTAAGATATGTACTACACTTAAAATAGGCAAAACATTTTTGTGATTTGAATTTATTAAGGCAAGCTATTTCCTTTTTGTTTTTCAGACTACTCTAAGATACTATTGATGAAGTATTTTATTTAATGCATTATAGATCCACTGATTCAGTCACAGAGAGCAATCATTGCCTCTGAATTTAGATAAAGTGTACAGAACTAAATATAAATTGCTCTAATATAAATAATACTATAAATATAGCCACAAGAAGAAAGGGGATAACCTAACAATATCTTACATTCCTATAGTCTTTTTCAGTTTTTCAGAGCACTTTGATACATTATCACAACAACTCTATACCTTATTATTCTTACTTCATAAATAGAAAATTAAGGATTGATGAGGATAACCAGATGACGGCAGAACCTTAATTGAAACCTTGGTTTGTCTTTCTAGAAACTGCTGTTTTCTATGATATACCATAATGCTTCTCAAGAGAAATAATTTTTTTTGCTGTATTACTGATTTCGAGTTTAAAATTTTTCCTCAGTGTTTAAGTCACAGGTTTATTTTTCACTTGAAAATTATTCTCTTCCATTGTCATATTCCCTATTTTCTTTGTTTTCCCTCAACTCTCAGATACAAAGGGCAAGATTTAGCCTGGGAAAAGGAAGAATTTTCTAACTATTAGAGTTACCTGGAAAAAAAAGACATTTTCCAGAAAGTATTTAAACAACATATATTAGTCAGCTAGAGCTGCTAAAATAAAATACCATACACTGTGTGCCTTAAACAACAGACATGGATTTCTCAACAGGTCTGGAAGCTGGAAGGTCCAAGATCAAGGTGCTAGCTGATTTGGTTCCTGGTAGGGGCTCACTTCCTGGCTTGCAGATGGCCACTTTCTCCACCTCTCACATGGTGGAGAAGAAGTGGACAGGCAAATCACAGGAAACTCAGACTATTACCATGTGTGGCACCACTATTTGGGTGACAGCTCTATTTGGAAATGATGGTTCATGAACAGATTGCAGCTAAATGGAAGATTTTTTTAAAAGGCCTAATTTGGGACTCTAGCCTGATAACTTTCGTGGAATAAGAGGTGAGAAATTGAACTGTAAGCCTTTGCTTTTGATCCATCTTCTGCGGGAAGAGCGAAGTCAGAGAGCTCTGGCTGTGGTGCTACCACTTACTGGCGGTTCATTCACACATTTGTTAGCAGGGTCTTTAAGTGCCAGGTAATCTGCTGAACACAAGAGATACAGAATGATAAACCAGTTTTCCTATTCAAAGAACTTGTATAAGGGAAAGAAAAAGAGAAATTAATGATCAGAATACAATGTGATAAGTGCCTAGTAGTATAAAGTACTGTTGAACCTCAGGGAAAGAATGACTCCTGCTGGAGGCATTGTGGAAGACTTCAGAATTGGCATTTGGGATCTTGAAAGATGAGTAAGTGTTGAACAGTTTAATTTTTCAGATACTGGAGAGTAGCAGACAAAGGAAAGTGAAGGCATGAAAAATGAGGAAAGAAGGTTTTAGAAGGGAGATGAGATCAAGAATGAGAATCAAAAACAAGTCCTTGGTGTGTGGGTGGGTGGGTGGGAGATGGAGCAAAAAAGAAAGAGAACTCATGGACATGGACAATAGTATGGTTGTGGGAGTGGAGGGTGGTGGGTGGAGGTGGTAGAGAGCATAGAGAGGATAAAAGGTGATGGAAAAAAATGAAAATTGAAAAAAGGGTTATTGGAATTACTGGAAATTTTATTCATTCAAAGAATATTTGAAATTTTACTGAGAGTCCCATGATACCTTATAGGTCATTGGTGGTCTTTTTAAGAATAGTAGATATTTGAGGAAACAAACTATAATCTGCCAAAATTAGAAAATGGATAAGAAATAAAGTAACCAAGAATAAATTATTCTTTTCAAGAAATCGGGTGATTTAGGAAAGCAGAGATTAAGGAAGTAGCTTGAGTAGGTGGAAAGATTTTATTAAAGAATAGAAATCATGCCCTGGCCAGTTTGGCTCAGCGGTTAGAGCGTCGGCCTGCGGTCCGCAGAGACCCGGGTTCGGTTCCCGCTAAGGGCATGTACTTTGGTTGCAGTTTGTCCCCGGCCCTGGTTGGTCGTGCGGGTGGCAGCCACTCGATGTGTCCCTTCACATCGATGTTTCTCTCTCTCTCTCCCTTCCTCTCTCTCCCTCCCACTCTATCTGTACAAAAAATGGAAAAATGTCCTCGGGTGAGGATAAAAAAAAAAAAAAGAATAGAAATCATGCCCGGCTGGTGTGGCTCTGTGGTTGAGCATCGGCCTATGTACCAAAAGGTTGCTGGTTTGATTCTCAGTCAGGGCACATGCCTGGGTTGGAGGCTCGATTTCCGGTAGGGACCATGAAGGAGGCAGCAGATTGATGTTGATGCTTCTCTCTCTCACTGATGTTTCTGTCTCTCCCTCTCCCTTCCTCTCTCTCTAAAAACTCAATGAAAAAAACATTAAGGCCCTGGCCGGTTTGGCTCAGCGGTTGGAGTGTCGGCCTGCGGTCCGGAGAGACCCGGGTTCGGTTCCCGCTAAGGGCATGTACCTTGGTTGCAGTTTGTCCCCGGCCCTGGTTGGTCGTGCGGATGGCGGCCACTCGATGTGTCTCTTTCACGTCAATGTTTCTCTCTCTCTCTCTTCCTCTCTCTCCCTCCCACTCTATCTGTGCAAAGAAATGGAAAAATGTCCTCGGGTGAGGATTAAAAAAAAAAAAAACATTAAGAATGGAAATCACTTATTTAAACTATCTGACTTTGTGCAAGATGCTTAACATCTATTAAAGAGGGACAATGCTTGCTCCATAGGCCTTACAGAGATGTTGTGAAATAATATATGCCAACTCACTTTATTTTTATTTATTTTTTTTTTTGGTACGTGCCCCTAGCGGGAACCTAACCTAGGACTCTCTGGTTAGCAGGCCGACGCTCCAACTGCTGAGCCAAACCGGCCAGGGCTCACTTTTTTTTTTTTTTTTTTTTGTTAATCCTCATCTGAGGATATTTTTCCATTGATTTTTATTTTTTCTTTATTGGTTTTAGAGAAAAAGAAGGGAGAGGGAGAGCTAGAAACATCGATAAGGGAAAACATCGATTGGCCACCTTCTGCATGGCCCCCACAACCTGGGCATGTGCCCTGACTGGGAATTGAACCGGTGACCTCTTAGTGCATGGTTTGACGCTCAACCACTGAGCTACACCAGCCAGGCTCCACTGATTTTTAGATAGAGTGGAAGGGAATGGGGAGAGATATATATAGAGAGAAACATCAATATGAGAGAGACACATCAATTGGTTGCCTCCTACACGACCCCAACAGGGGCTAGGGATCGAACCTGCAACCCAGGTATGCATCCTTGAACAGAATTGAATCCAAGACCCTTCAGTCTTCAGGCTGACATTCCAACCGCTGAGCCTGGACGTTTCAACGGCCAGGGCTATGCCAACTCACTTTAAAAACCATAGCTCTACAAATGTATTATGCTTATTATTACATTGTTAACTTTTATTTCTCTTTGCTTTAAGTTCAGTGTTGCTTTCTATTTTGCAAATCTGTAGGTGACATGTTTCAGGATGTTGATAAAGCCAGAATCTTAGTGATTGTTTTTTTATTCCAGCTTAAACATCTGAAGCCTTTTTTCACCAGTCTGGGAAGTAACTATGGCTGTTGGAGTGATAGCAAACGAAGCCCCCTACATGACACATATGTCCCATTTGAAAGCCAAAAATCATCTTTGGCTTTGCTTTTATTAGGAGCGTTATAACTTGAGGAAGTTGATTTCCCTCTCAATAGTGTAGCATTTTTTTTAAAGTAAGTAAAATTCTGCTGGGCCGGAGTGGCTCAGTTGGTTGAACGTCATCCTGTGCACCAAAGGGTTGCCGTTTCGATTACCTGTCAGAGCACATACCTGGTTTGCGGGTTCAATCCCTGGTTGGGGCACATATATAAGGCAATCAATTGATGTTTCCCTCTCACATCAATGTTTTTCTCTCTCCTTTCTCCTTAAGCATGTCCTCAGGTGAGGATTTACATAATAATAATAATAATAATGATAACTAAAACTAGGTAAAATTGAAGGATCTCTTACTGAATTTTGATAGAATTCAAGGGAATATTCCTGTGCCTCCAAATAACATATAAGAAACAATGGCTGGGAGAGCGGGACATCCAGCTTGTGTGTGGGAGTCTCAGTGTTGCGTGAGATAAAAGAGCAGTTTAGAAATGGGTAATGTTGAGAAAGGCAAGAAGATTTTTGTTAAAAATGTGCCATACTGTGGAAAAGGGAGGCAAGCACAATACGGCCAAATTTCCATGGTCTGGGTGAAAGACAGGTCAGGCCCCTGGATTTTCTTAAACAGATGCCAACAAGAACAAAAGGCATAACCTGGGGAGAGGCTACACTGATGGAGTATTTGGAGAATCCCAAGAGGTACACCCCTGGAACAAAAAATGATCTTCACTGACATTAAGAAGAGAGCGGAAAGGGCAGGCTTGATAGCTTATCTCAAAAAAGCTACTAATGAGTAATAGTTGGCCACTGCCTTATTTATTAAAAATGTCTCATGGCTTTTTTTATGTGTACCATATTTAAATTGATCTCATACACCAGAATTCAGATCATGAATGGCTGACAGAATATTTCTTTTGGGGGCTACCCTGATTTAAATAAGATTGGCTTGTGGTTAAATGAATATGGTCACCTTTTTTACTTTGATGGTAATTTTGGTTCAGCAAGTGCTGTCACTCTTTTTCCTTTCTAAAAATATGCTTGGACTTGATTCATAATGTTCAGCTTTTCACAGAGATGGTGAGTACCATCTCAAAACCTGTTAGGAGATTGGTTTTATATTTAGATTTATATAACTGGTTGTATTAATTTAAATATTGAGGGCATTCCTTTACTGTATCTTAGACCAGCAAGACTCACTTCTGTTTCAAATTGTGTTCATTAGCATGTTAAAAGGCAAGGGCTGGCCCTGGCCGGTTTTGCTCAGTGGTTAGAGCGTCGGCCTGCGGTCCAGAGAGACCTGGGTTCAGTTCCCACTAAGGGCACGTACCTCAGTTGCAGTTTGTCCCCGGTCCTGGTTGGGTTGTGTGGGTGGCAGCCACTCGATGTGTCTCTCTCACATTGATGTTTCTCTCTCTCTCTCTCTCTCTCCCTCTCTCTTTCCCTCTCTCTCCCTCCCACTCTATCTGAACAAAAAATGAAAAGATGTCCTCGGGTGAAGATAAAAAAAAAAAAAGGCAAGGGCTGGAGATGAACTGGCAGTGCCCATTTTATCTTTTTGTTCTAACTGTGCCAATTTAATTAAAAGTCCCTGTATCTAAACTGTTATTTTTTACTAAATGAAATGTGTTTTAGTGTGGTGTGTGTATAATACCAAATAAAGAACATTTAATACTTCTCACATTTTATAGATGATCTATAAGGTCAAATGCTTTTAAAATTTAGCATGACTAGCCCTGGCCAGTTTGGCTCAGCAGTTAGAGCATTGGCCTGCGGTCCAGAGAGACCCAGGTTCAGTTCCCACTAAGGGCGCTTACCTCGGTTGCAGTTTGTCCCCAGCCCTGGTTGGTCGTGCGGGTGGCAGCCACTCAATGTGTCCCTTTCACGTCGATGCTTCTCCCCCCCCCCCCCCTCTATCTGAACAAGAAATGGAAAAATGTCCTCGGGTAAGGATAAAAAAAAAACTTTAGCATGACTAGGTACAGTAGGAAACTTTGTGAATTCTTTTTTTCTCACCCAAGGACATTGTTCCATTTATCATCAGATAGAGTGGGAGGGAGAGAGAGAGACAGAGAGAAACACTGATGTGATAGAGCCACATCGACTGGTTGCCTCCCAAACGACCCAACCAGGGCCGGGGATGAACCGCAACGGAAATATGTTCCCTTGATGGGAATCAAACCCACGACTCATTGGTCTGCAGGCTGACACTCTAACCACTGAGCCAAACCGGCCAGGGCTTTGTGAATTCTTTAAGTCAGACAAATTATAATTTAGGATTGTCTTGAACAGCTATTCAAAAATAACTGTAGAATTACTGTATATGTGTATTATTGGTA